AGATAAATATCACAGCTAGTGATGGAGATGGAAATAGGTTCTGGTTTCACTCACATTTTACCATATGACATATATAAATATCTGGCTCAATTTGATTTCTGTTATCTTTCTTAATTGAGATAATTAGTTTTTAGTGGTACCCAAATAAAAGCACTTAATAGATAATTTTTTAAGAAAAGATAGTCATTAAGCTCTTTGAATGCCAGTTTTCCTTCTCCAAAATGAGAATGATGAACAATATAGTGTCCAAGTTGGAATATTTTTTAAAATCCATGAGGAATTAAGTTTTCTTGGTTGGTTCTAGATTCCAAGCACCTAGAAAATGTTTCTGGCATGTAGATTGAACATAATAATTATTTGTTTAATTAAACAGAAGTGAATGGTTCTTTCCAACTCTATGTTTTGTTGTTCCTGACAATTTTAGAGCAGTGGCATCCTTTGACTGATGGTACATACATAACAAATCCGTGAAGCAACAGAAAAGAGAATAACCCCAAAGATGAAGTGATGCTTCCCTTTAACATGCAATGTGTAGCCAAAATGACAGAGAAATTTGTGAATCTGAGTCCTGTGATAGTACCTGAGATTTACTGAATTTTCCAAAGAATAAAAACTGTAAACAGTTTAGAATAGAGTCCAGCAAAGATCTCCAGCAGATATTAATTCTGTCCCTGGAAGACTGACAATGTCTCAGAAGGTTTACAGTAATCACATTTAAAGCAGAACCACTGGGATTTCTCTGAGGAATCTGTAAAGGAATTATCTTGTGTTTCTCTTTGTGCAGTTTGATGAGATGAGGGAAAATATGAGAATGGCTCCCTAGGACATTTGACTCATGGAAAGAGGAAATCTCAATGACTTCCCAATGGACTAACTTGTTTGTTCACAGGTGATTTTCCTCAACTTCCATTTCAAGTGTAGCTAGAACAAGTTACAGTGAAAACGTCTTCTTCAGGCTTCGATTTGTTCTGTAGCTACTTAACTTTTCCTCTTCCAAACTCCCTCCCATAGCAATGATGAAAACACTAACATGGTTTAATTCATATAAATATTGATAACTTTGTAAGTTGATATAATTATTTTCTCTGTGCCAATACTTTAGAAAAATACAGAAATCTAAAAAAATTTTATATCTATAACCCAGTTGGCATTATAAAACCAAACTATGATCCACTTTGCCTATGGATTAACACCAGATAACCACATCAAGGTTTGCAATGATAGAAAGAAGGGTGTTTATTTGCAGGGAGCCAAGTAAGGAGGATCAGGCTTCTAACACTTAAGACAGGACATCCCTGATGCCATACAAGCAAAGGTTTTTTAAAGACAAGGGTAAATTTTAGGAAAGCAGAAGTTATAGACAAAATTGTAAATCAATACATGAAGGTTACACATTGGTTTTGGCCTAACAGGGTAGAGTATCTTGAAGCAGGAGCTTAAAGGTCATAAGTGGATTCAAAGATTTTCTGATTTGCAATTGGTTAAGGAAAATAAGCTTTGTTAAAAACAAATGGAGGGTAACAGAAAAAAATGTTATCTATGGCTCACGGATGTGACTGTTGTCCCCAATGGGGTTTTTCTTCCTCACTGCTCAGAAAAAAAAATAGGTTCTGGTTTCACTCATATATCTTACCACGTGAAATATCTTCTTGCTCACCGCTCAGAAAAAACAAATAGGTTCCGAGTGGATTTGATTTCTATTATCTTTCTTAATTGAGGTAATTATTTTTAATGGCACCCAAAAATAAGCACTTAATAATAAATAATATTTTTTTAAAAATAGTTATTAAGCTCTTTGAAAGCCAGTTTTCTTTCTGTAAAATGAGAATGATAAAGAAGATAGTATCTAAGTTGAAATACATTTTAAAATCTATGAGTTATTAAATCTTCTTGGTCACTTCTAGACTCTCAGCATCAAAAAAGGCCAATGCAGTGAAAACAGCAGATGGTGTAGCAGAGAAAGAGTCCATTAATCTTTGCAGGATTAATCCATGCTTGCAGGATGACCAAGCAAGGAGGTCAGAAAGTATCTTTCAAATTTTCCTTCCCAATAATTTAGCTAGTAGGGTTTTTAAGAATTGCTTGGAAAGCAGGGGGCTAGGGAATGGGCACTACTGATTGGTTGGATCAGGGATGAAATCACAGGGGTGTCAAAATTGTCCTAGTGTGCTGAGTCAGTTCTAGTGGGAAGGGTTTGTCACCAATCCAAGTGGTATCAGTTGGTTCACAAGAATGCAAAATCTGAAAAATATTTCAAACATGTCTTAGGTTTTATAGTAACAATGTTATTTATAACAGCAAATTGGAAAGTTGTAAATTTTATGACCACTGGCTAGTGACTCCTGAGTAGCAAACAATTAAAAAATGCAAACTAGAAAACAATGACTAGTTATATTTAACTATGCCTAGGTCTTAGCAGAATTCAAGGCTTTACCATAATTCGAATCTTGTAGCCTTCCATTAGGTTTATAAATATGGACGGGAAGGCAGTGGTGCAATCTCGGCTCACTGCAACCTCTGCCTCCCAGGTTCAAGCAATTCTTCTGCCCTCAGCCTCCTGGGTAGCTGGGATTACAGGCCCATGCCACCACACCCAGCTAATTTTTGTATTTTTAGTAGAGACGGGGTTTCACCATGTTGGTCAGGCTGCTCTCGAACTCCTGACCTCATGATCTGTCCACCTCGGCCTCCCAAAGTGCTGGGATTACAGGTTTAAGCCACCACATCCGGCCATCATCCTTATTTTAAAGTTAAACTATAAACTAAACTCCTCCCATAGTTAGTTTGACCTATGTGTAGGAATGAGCAAGGACAGTTTTAGAGGTTAGAAGCAAGATGGGGTTGACTATGCTACATGTCTCTCACTATTGTAATTTTGCAAAGGGGTCATGACTTTCTGCAGGCCCCTTGGAAAGAAATTTAAAACAAAGAATGGTGGTCGAAGTTCAGACCTTAGTTCTCCCTTATTTGAGGTCTAAGTGCCAATGGAACCATTTGGTAGGATCTGGGTTTTGGAGAAACAACTCAGACACTTATGTTGGTATCTTTAGTTTTTATAACAAATAAAAAGTCTCGTGATTCTAACTTTATTTGCTATTATTTTAAGCTACTATTACCTTCTGGCTTATCAAGTCTTTTATTTACTTCTCAAGGCTAGCTAGGAGCCTGAAATTTCCCTTGAAGGAACTCAATACTTTACTTTATTTCCATACTTAGTAGAGAGGTGAACAGGACTGTAAGAGGGGGCGCCCTGCTCTGTCTCATGGGTGAAATTCTAATAAATAGTCTGAATATCCATTTATGCTCAGCTTAAAATCAGAAATGTTAGTAGCCATTAAAATGTCCAAAAAGATAATTAATTTTATAATTTTAGAGACCAATTGGATTTCATGATTACTGCTGAGTTTAACTATCATTGTTTGTCATATATAAACATTACCACTGACTTAAGAGCAGCAGGATATGCATTTCCCAGGTTTTATTTTAATGTTTTTTATCCTTATATAAGGAGTTGAGTGCCACAAATCCACTGATATTTTCTTGTAGCCACATTCTCTGGCCTAATTTCTAGCACCTATGGTGAGCCTTTTGATGTGTGAGTAAAGCCTCATCTATGGAGATGTGGCATGTATGCCATTTCGTCAAATATTCAGCTCAGATTTGTTATTTTGTCCTGATATGTTTTGTCTGTGTCCCCACTCCAATCTCATCTCGAATTGTAAATCCCACAATTCTCAGGTGTTGTAGGAGGAGCCGTGTAAAAGGTAATTGAATAATGGGGGCAGGTCTTTCCCATGCTGTTTTCATGATAGTGAATAAGTCTCACGAGATCTGATGGCTTTAAAAATGGAAGTTTCCTTCCTTCCATAAGCTCGCTCTCTTTTTGCCTGCTACCATCCATTTAAGATGTGCCTTCTGCCATGACTGTGAGGCTCCTCAGCTACATGGAACTGTAAGTCCATTAAAACCTTTTATTCTTCCCAGTCTCAGCAGTGTCTTTATCAGCAGTGTAAAAGCAGATTAATACAGGTCCCCTTTATATTGTCTCTTAATTCTAAAATGTTATTTTCACAAGAATTGACAACTTTATAAAATGTCTAACCCTAAGTATAGCATTTTTTGTTACTGGTAAAGTGGACCTATATCAAATTTTTCCTCCACAAGTCAGATTAATAATAATAAGATAAAATCAGTGGGAGGCTGACATTCAAGTCATTTAAAAGAGTAAATGGTAAATAAAAAGCAAATATATGCTTGTTCTCAAATCAGATAGCTCACTAACAACCAAGGAAGGCTACTTGTGTAGTCCCAGAACTAAGAAAGATGCTCTATGTGTCCTTGATTTTGCTGTTTATCATCCTTGGTTCAGAACAATGAGGGGACCAGATTCCCAAATTGCATTGTTCTTTACTTTCTGACCAGGCCTCATTCCCACCAAAGATTTTTCCAATATGCATACTCTACAAATACACTCATTAAGTTTAAAAATGTTCAACTTAGACAAGCTGTCTTATTTTAAACTTTGTCTTAGTTATACATAAGTAGGACAGGCTGTTTTAACAATTTGATGTGAGTGGTCATCAAATCAAAGAGAAAATAATTTTCTTGTTATAGCTACTTTTTCAGATAAATGATCTGCTACTTTGGATTATGATGCAAATACTGAATGAGAGTGCTTCCAACATCTTCACGCTTAGCTTTGTCACCATAGAAAAGTTTGGTGACAGGAACAAGATGCATAAAGAAGGAATGATGCAATACATTCTAATATTCTTAAAACAATTTGCTTCAATGACATATCTTTAAGGTGCCTTGTCTGCCTATATTACACAACACCTCATGTCCTTGTTCTCAGCTTCCTATTTGAAACTCACACATTTATTGCCACAATAGCTATCTATTATCTGATGGGAAAAGGTACAATGATGTGTCATTGGAACATGAGGAGAACATTTGCGTGATGGCTGATATTAAGCCAAAGGTGTTTTATATTCTTTCAGAGGATACAGTCCAGATGCCATAAAATTATTAGCAGAAGCTGAAAATCTGCTTTGAAGGATATATTCCTGACATTTCTATGGAAACAAGAAGACTGTGAATGGAAAGCCTTCAGGCATGAATGAGCTTAATAAGTCATGGATTCTGGGTTAGTGTTTGAAAGGCTGGATTTGTATAACAGTATGCTTCACAGTTAAAGGTATGCTATGAGACATATAAGTCCCCATGGAAATTAAGCGGCAGATAAACTCACTATTATTTGTATTTCTAAAAATGTCTCCTCATGGCCTGATTTTCTTTCCTGGAATTGAGAGTGGCTTTTGCTTGCAAGGCTTGTTAGACTCAATGCCCTTTTCTTGTTCACTCATTGTGAGTCTGAAAGGTCCAGCTGACCTGTTCCACCTGTGACACTCTGCTGAGTCTGGTCTATATGCTGTACAGTAATTGAAATCACTTACTTGCACCTTTTACAAGTCACAAACTCTATTAGGTGCCTAGTAAATACCAAAACATCCTTACAAAGTAAGTAGTATTGTTTGCATCCCTAGTTGAGGAATCTGAGGTAAAGACATGAGTTGGCACATTACTAAACATTTTTTTCTTACCATCAACATGCATGTTTATGGGCTAAAAACGTACATAGATCCATCTTTAACTTAACCAGACTTTGGAAAACCGAATCATGACAAATGTCTTTGATGACCTGAGAAGTACCCACATTAATATCAAGAGCAAAGAAAAGTGAATCACACATACACTGATCCCCATACAATTCATTGGCACCTCAGTGAGGAAGGAAAGAGGACCAGTGTGAACAACAGTCAATATTTTGTGAGCCCTTTCTGTTTCCCAAAGACGATTGAAGGGCTTTCTTTCACATTACCTGATACAGTATTTACAACACTCCTGTCAAGGAGATGTTATCAGCTCATGTTGCATATGTAAAATTCATAGTCTTAGGGAGGCATAATAAAAATGTTTCAGTATTACACAGCTAAAAAGAAGCAAAACCAAAATTCTAAGCAATGCTTTGTCTCCAAACTCAACTCCAGTGTCTTTTCAGGACTCTGCAGAAGTCCTTCTCAGGCACCGGTCATACTTCTCAAATTATTCTCTTCCCCTGGTTTCAATATTTTTATTAAGGGCACTTGAAAAGTTTGCTACTTTCTAGTCTTAGAAGCCAGATTTATACATGTTCCTGAGTAGTAAAGTGAGTCCTTAGAAAAATTTCCCAAATACTCATTCTTTGAACTTCAATTAATGTAGTTTTCCATACAATCAACCCCCAGGTCTGTGTTCCTGAGATATCAATTGATTGCTGATAATCACTTTTTAAATCACCACTAAAACTAGTTTTTAAAGAATAATATTATATAAAATACCATAAAGAAAGCTACCTATTGGGCAAAAATGGCTTAGTTTTATGCAACATAATAATGTGAAATAATCCATATAGACTGTGAAGAATTATATAATTAAAAATTATAGTAGAAATTATTACTTAAAATTTCCCTAGTGACTCTTTCCCCTAAGGATTTTATATTTCTTTCTTTTGTTTCAATAATGAGCATCATAGTAAGACCCAGTTAGAACGTTTTTCAACTCAGATAAGTAATTCAAGTCATTGAGTGTGGGATATCAAAGACTTTATCAACAAAATTACCATGATTGCTCATCCCATGCATGAACGTAATTTTCCTCTCCATTTATTCCAGTTTTTGTTCATAATTGTCATAAAGGGCTTTTAGTATTTTGTGGTATGTTCCTTTGAGGCCTAGTTTGTTGAAGACTTTTATGATGAAGGGATGTTGGAATTTACTGAAAACGTTCTCTGCACTTACTAAGATAGTCACATGATTTTTGTTTTTGATTCTATTTATGTGGTGAAATAAATGTATTGACTAGCAATCTACTACCATAATTTTAAAACAGTGATGAGGACAAAGAATAAGAGATATCTGCAATAAATATGTAATAGAAACATATCGGTGATTTCTACGGGTAACTACAAAACAGTTTCTGCCTTTACCACAATGGGTAAAGGCACTATTACATTTAATTGAAGGACATGTTAGATGTCTATTAGAGTTGAGAAAAAAATAAGTTTTTATTTTATCATTCATGTCTTCAGATCAATTTCCATGGACTCCCAATTAAAAATTTTAAAAACCCAGTTATTTGACTATTGGAGACTTTAAGTTATGAATTTGGTGCCTTTTACTTATGAGATGATGAAATAAAGACTACAGTAAGTCTGCAGAGTCACAGAGCTAGGTAAAGGCAGAAGTCCTCAGTCAGCCCTTTCTCCTGTATCTCATTACTGCCATGACATGGATAATTTTCTTTACTTCCTTTAATTTTTTAAAACAGTTTTAAATAAGGCCAGGCGCGGTGGCTCAAGCCTGTAATCCCAGCACTTTGGGAGGCCGAGACGGGTGGATCACGAGGTCGAGAGATCGAGACCATCCTGGTCAACATGGTGAAACCCCGTCTCTACTAAAAATACAAAAAATTAGCTGGGCATGGTGGCGCGTGCCTGTAATCCCAGCTACTCGGGAGGCTGAGGCAGGAGAATTGCCTGAACCCAGGAGGCGGAGGTTGCAGTGAGCCGAGATGGCGCCATTGCACTCCAGCCTGGGTAACAAGAGCAAAAAAACTCCGTCTCAAAAAAAAAAAAAAAGTTTTAATTATTTATTTGTTTGGATTTTGTGAATTCTTTTTCTAATATATTCCAGATACCCTGGGATATTGTTGTTATTGTGAATGGGATGCTGTTTTCCTATCATAATTTTTAGTTGGTTACTGATGGTATAGACCGTGGCATTCAAAGAGCAGTACACGTCGCAGCAGCACTGATATCCCTTGGGAGACTGTTAGGAAGGTCCAGTCTCTGGCACCACCCCAGAACTCGTGAATCAGAATTTATCTTTCAGTAAGATCTTCAGATCACATCAAGATAAACATTGAAAAAAATCGGTATAGAGAAACTTGAATTAGGGAACCACTGTCTTAATTTTCTCTTGAAGAAAAACACTTTCAGTTGCAGTATGGGAACAGCGGTCCAACGATCACATAGCACTTTCTCCTTTGTTCCTAACCCTTAGTCCTTTAACTCTATTCCTACACCCCTTCCACAAGAGTTTTTGGGGAAACATGTTTTAAACCTCTATGGGATTGCAGATTCGTAATTTGATGAGATTGTGATCTTAATCTGATTATAAAATGTTCTTAAAGTTCTTAAATATTTCAGAGTCTCTATTTCCCATGACTTTTTTTTTTTTTAAATTATGGAGTTTTATTTTGTATAATATTAAGGCATCAGAGAAAGAAGAAATATTATGAATGGAAGCTCAGCAGCCATCTGGCATCAGAAGTCTTCTAAATATGTGGGTGGTTTTTGTTTTTTGTCTATTTTTTTTTTTGAGATGGAGTCTTGCTCTGTTGTTGCCCAGGCTGAAGTGCACTGGCATGATCTCTGCTCACTGCAAACTCTGCCTCCCAGGTTAAAGGGATTCTCTTGCCTCAGCCTCCCAAGTAACTAAGATTAAAGGCATGTATCACTATGCTCTCCTAATTCTTGTATTTTTAGTAGAGACAGGGTTTCACTATGTTGGCCAAGCTGGCCTCAAACTCCTGGCCTCAAGTGATCCACCTGCCTCAGCCTCCAAAAGTGCTGGGATTACAGGCGTCAGCCACCACACTCCTCCTAAACATGTGTATTTTAAAGTCTAATAATAAGTTGATTCAATAGAATAGTGTTTCTTTTAGTTCCTGAAGCCAAATGTTTAGAATTACACATTTTACCCTGTCATCTCATATATACATACACACATAAATTTGTAAAAGTATCTGTACTGTATTGAATTTATACTGAAGCTGTCCTTTGAAAATAAAAACATATTAGAGCAAGAAAAAAATTGTATTAAATGGATTTTAAATTTCTACTGCATTTTCCAAATTATCTCAGTACACGAATTCTCTTTTTCTGTACAGCCAGTTGGACATTGCATCTAATAGGATAATGGGGATTATGATACCCATTTTTGTCATGATTTAATTAACCTAGTCTACATAGGAATTTATACTTTTCTATCTAGACACTTCTGTGATTTACTTCTTTATTTTTTACTTTCGTAAGTTCAAATTCTGAATTTCATTTATGAATCAGTGCTGTCCATCACTATATTTTAACTTTTGTCTTAGATAAAAGAAAGCCCCAGCCCTTTTGTAGGTTTAGCTATAGTATTAAAAATGATTGTGGGGCGGGGAGAGGTGGCTTAGGCCTGTAATCCCAGCATTTTGAAAGGCTGAAGTGGGCAGATCACTTGAGGACAGTTCAAGACTAGCCTGGCCAACATAGTGAAAACCCATCTCTACTAAAACTACAAAAATTAGCCGGGCAAGGGGGTGGGTGTCTGTAGCCCCAGCTACTCAGGAGGCTGAGGCAGGAGAATCGTTTGAACCTGGGAGGTGGAGGCTGCAGTGAGCTGAGATTGTGCCATTGCATTCCAGCCCAGACAACAGAGCCAGACTCTGTCTCAAAAAAAAAAAAAGATTGTGGGATATATTATGGGCTACTTGTTACTAATATTAAAACAATTTAGGGAATAATTATCTTTTTAATAGTATTATTAAATTCTTGGATGCAGAATATACTTTTTTGGCTGTTTAAGTACAGTGGAGATTGCCTGTAACCTTAGGTATGACCAGAGGCACATATTATAATACAATTGCAAATAGGAACAGTAGGAAATGGCTACAAACTATAATTCCAGAACAGTAATTCTTCTTCTCAATCTTAAACAGGCATCCAATCACCTGATGATCTTGCTAAAAGGCAGGTCCTGATTTTTTATGTCTAGGTTGGAGCCTGAGATCTTTTGTTTCTCACAAGCTCCTAGGTTACTGCCATGCTGCTGGGCCACAGACCATACTTAGGGTAGAGCAGTCATTCTGAAAGTGGAGTGCCCAGAAGCAATCTGCATTTTAGTAAACTCTCAAATGATTCTGATCCGCTCTGAGTTTGAGAACATCTATTCTAAATCATAGAAGTGTTTATATCTTCAGTGCCATAATCCAAATGTTCACCTTTCATTCAAGGTGAAAGAAGGCGAAGATGTGAAGTCTAATGACCATATCCTCCTGAACAGTTGTTTAATGTACATATCTTTCTGAAATAGTTATCTTACAAGACAAGGGAGAATTAAGTTTCCTAACTGAACATACTCTCCTTGAAGTAACTGTAATTCCATCACAGAGAGGAAGAGAAAGAGAGAAAGAGAGAGATAAAGGCTCTTATTTTAGCATGACCTTTCCCACTATAAAGATAGGACCCTTAATTCTTCAGAATGAATTGCTTTGGAACACAAGATTAAGATTCTACAAGGTACACACTAGATGTTAGAGAGTGTATTGTAATAGAAGAAGGCAAATGTACAATATATATTTTTAAATTATATATGTATATACTACATATTTATAAATGTTACATATAAGTGCTATATATATATATATATATATATATATAACATTTATAAATGAATTATAAAATATAACATATAAAGTGCCTGGTATATTAGTTTTGCTTTTTCATGGACAATTCACTAATAGTTTCATTTTCCTCAAATCCTTGGAGGAAAATTGCAATATTGGCAAAAACTTCTGAAAAAATATTTTTGAGGCAGTTTACTTAGACTATAGTCCAAAAACAACAGAGAGATAGGTTTGTCCAGGGGCTGCATGCAGGTAGCTGCCTCAATTAACCCATTGTCTCTTCTTCTAGGCTGCGGAAAGAGGAGAAGGTAACTCAGGAAAGGGGCCCAACTCACTCAGGCACATTCATTTTAATAAAGTTCACAGAAAGGTGAGGAACCTTAGAATCATTAGCAGCGTTTGGAAAGAGACAAAAACATGCAAATGAGCCCAAAGCCTTTACCTAGGACCTCCAGGTTCACAATCTTGAGACCTTTGGGATTTTCAAGAGTACTTTCCATATGGGAAACAGCCTGGTATTAAACCAGGGTCACCTGATGTGGTAGACAACCTCTTATGGACACGTTGTTCAATTTCTAGAAAACATACAGACTTATTAAATAAAGGTACAGACTTGGGTGCAAATTAACTCAATTCTAGTTTTAGAACTGCTTTGCTCATAAAATATTTCCTTCAACTGTTAGCAGCAGTCAGTCAAAGCAATTTTCAACTCAACGTCTACATCTTAAGTGTGTTTATCCAGCCAGCCCAAGGTAAAGTGGGGATGGATCATAGGTCCAGATAAATCATAAAGGTTTTCAATGTTTGACTCACAGAAGTGAGTCAATTTCTCCTTTGCTAAAAAAAAAGCATCTTGTCTTCTATTAAGATACATTCTCAACATCTAGTATGTATCTTGTAGAATCTCATTTGTGTTCTTCAAAGCAAATTAAACTTGAGAAGTAAGGATTCTGTCTTCACAGTGAAATATGTCATGATACAGCAAGGCAGTCCCAATCTTTTGCAATAGGAGAAGTAAATCATCTAAATGAAAAGCAAGTGTGACTCAGAGAAGTGAGTCAGTCCCTTGACAAGTTATATTTTCCCAAAGAGCACTGCAAAATAATCCCATCTCACATACTCCTAGAATGTAGATTGGACACTCCTCTCATTTAGAGGGGGGATTCTATGTCAGTGGCTTGTGACTTTGACTTAACTGAGGCCAATGCTAATTTCTAAAATGTGATGCATCTTCTATCTGATTCTCTTTGAGCACCTGTTCTTGGAACACACCAACATGATGTGAGAAAGCCTAAGCAGAGACCCATGCATGAGCTTACCTACGTACGTGCTCAAGCAATAACCCCAGAAGAGAACCAACCACCAGTATTAGCCTCAAGACACATGAATAAATGTCTTCAGATGATTCAAGCTCCTAGCCATCAAGTCACCTGCAGTATTTGAAGATTCTAATTGAGACCCCAGGTATCACAAAGCAGAAATACAAAATCATCATTGTGCTGTTTTGAAATTTTTGAATTGCAGAATCCATGAACATAATATTTATTGTTTTATTGTGTGATGAGTTATGCAGTAACACACATATACACACACAATGTTTACCAGTAGATGGATGGCATTTATCATCCAGAAGTTTTACTGTCTTCTCACAACATTTTATATTTGCCAAAAAGAAAACTACTTCAAAGATTACACATTGCCCCATACCTTAGATCATTGCTAATTGTATGGCCTGATGAGATAATATTGTAATGGCAATGTCAGTGGTCTGAAAAAGCTGCATAAGAACCATAAGTCCTAGAATGTATCTCATCTCCAACATGGTTTAGTCCTTAATCAGACTGATAATAAACTACCCCATGCAGAAGTCATGAATATGTGTACAAATCAAAATATGCTTATTCTCTTTATTCCAGGTTCTTTGCAGGACCAAGCTTTCTCTTTGGATGCAAGTTGCATGGCATGGGCCCAGGTTAAAGGGTGGGCTAAGCTCTGACATAGTGCAGCTCCCTTATGGCCTGTTTTTCCTCCCATCTTTATCCAGGACGATGACTGCCAGATAGGCCATCAGTATTTATTCACTGCCTGATGTCCACATGTTAAATCCAGATCCAACTTGTCATAGGATTGGAAGGAGATGTTATAAAACATAGATGTTGTGTTTACATTTTGTTCCAGATGGACCAGCATGGAGATTTCCCTGGCATAACTTGTTCTTTTACATCTGTGGAGCAGCAGTGAGTTGATCATGTGTCTTCTTGAAGATCAAGACTGGTGAGGATGTTTGGATAATAATCAAAAGACCACGTTGGACACCATAGACTTAAAAATATTTAACAGCATCCTCTCTGTTCTAATATGAACTCTGAAGAAATAGCTGCAGTAGGATACAGAAAAAGCTTCAAACTACATTCATGGGAAACAATAGTAACGGTTATTGGAATTAGTCACTGCTAAATACCCTCTTATTACAGAACATTTGGATGGTTCTAGCTAATGCCAGAGAAGGGTAGATTTCATAAAAAGATAAGGAACGATTAAGGAAAATCATGAATAAGGAGAAGAGGAAGACTGGAACATTTATCAAGACAGAATCATAGTATGTAAGGCAATAAAGGAGTCTTGGAGTGTAATGAGAGAGAATTTGCTACATCTAGTTGCATCCATGCAAACATGGTACTGAGACTTTCTTTTCCACCTTAGTATTGACACGTCTGTTTATCAAGAGCCCCATTTTTTGCATTCAGGTATTTGCAACTAATTTAGATTCTTCAAAACAGTGGGTTCCCAAGAGACTACGTGGGATTTCGCCAAATTTGAGAATATGGTCAAGTACTTTTACTAAAAGAACCAAATGCTAGCAGTTGGCAACTCTGATGAGCCCTAATTCCCAGGGACCTAGAGAGTATCTTCTCTTGCCAGATTATATAAATTCTTATTTGATCAGCTGTGACATATTCTGTATGCATTAGCTGCATTTTTACATGGCTTTCCAGAGCAAGCCATAATAAAGTCTTCATCTGGAAGTTTATTTTTAAAATCCTTTTTTAGAGTGGGTGTGGTGGCTCATGCCTGTAATCTCAGCACTTTGGGAGGCCTAGGCAGGTGAATCATGAGGTCAAGAGTTCAATGCAAGCCTGGCCAAAATGGTGAAACCCCGTCTCTACTAAAAATACAAAAATTAGCGAGGTGTGGTGTCCGGTATCTGTAATCTCAGCTACTCGGGAGACTGTGGCAGGGAAATGCTTGAACCCTGGAGGCGGAGGTTGCAGTGAGACAAGATCGCGCCACTGCACTCCAGCCCTGGTGACAGAGTGAGACTCTGTCTCAGAAAAAAAAAAATCCTCTTTTTAGGCTATTCTTCTTTCTCCTAAATCACTCTCATTCTCCAGGTGTGGTCTGTGGATTAACAGCATCAGCATTGGCTGGAAACTAATTAGAAATGCAAGTTATGGGGCCCCACTCCAGATCTATTTCAGAAACTGGGAGGCTGACTGAGCCTTGCATCTTGTCAAGTCATCCAAGCAATTTTAATACATGCTAGTGTTTGAGCACCACCTTCCTAAGATCATGCATGAGCTCTGTCAGCCTGGGTAACCCTCATGCACTGGGTTTTGGGGGAGAGCTAGAGCAGGTTTGTCAACCTCTCCCCTTTTTTCTCTATTTGTTCCATACTCAGTTCCACCAGGGCCTTTTCTTTAGATGCTCAGGAGCCTGTATTGGAGGTAAAAAAAAAATTGCCTTTCTCTTTGTTCTTTTGTTTTAACAAACCTAATCTTCCTTAAGTGTGAAACCACATTGGTTTCATCTGACTGAGAAGGGGAGGGGGTGGTAAAATGAAGTATAGAAAATGAACAAAAGCTTTTTAGAAACAAACACTCTTGCCATCTGAGAAGATAATGTCAAACAGTTATATAGTTTATCTAATTTAATATATTTTTTATTTTTAGCAGATATAGCACATGGAGAAAATATCCCATCATGTAAACAAAAATCCATGAAATAAATGTTGCTTTGCCTTGTGCTTACTGTATATGTGATATTAAAAACCAAGAAGTTATTAGAGATTCTCTCTTTTATTTGAAGTTATATTCTTGAACAGTGTATTTGAAATCATACACTGTTCCTTACTGCTTCCATACCTCTAGATTATATAAGAATATAAAGTATGACTCTCAGAAGGATCAGCCCAAGTAATGCAACATTTCAGATAATCAAAACAATTTCACTAAGAGTTTTTCAGCATCCAGTATACTGAGCTCCAACCGCAAAGATAAAAAAAAAATCTGAATTTACACATATAGTTTAATTGGTCACCTCCTATTGGAGTTAGGTCAATGCTTCCTCAAAAGTTATATGCAGATACAGTGACCGATGCTTCATTCAAAAATATTTTTCCTTTTTTTCTATTGTACTTTGGGCTCTGGAGTACATGTGGACATCCTGCATCCTACAGGATTGTTGCATAGATACATATATGCTATGGTGGTTTGCTGTCTCCTTCCCCCTGCCCCACTAGTCACCAAAGCAGGCATTTCTCCTGGTGTTATCCCTTCCCATCCTCCCTGCCACACCCCACCGCTGTCCCTCCACTCCCCTCTCCTTCACCTCCCCACCTAGCCCTGTGAGTGTTGTTCCCTTCCCTGTGCCCAAGTGTTCTCATTGTTCATCACTCGCCAGTGAGTGAAAACATGCAGTGTTTGGTTTTCTGTTCTTGTGTCAGTTTGCTGAGAATGATGGTTTCCAGATTCATCCATGTCTCTACAAAGGACACGAACTCATCGTTTTTTATGGCTGCATAGTATTCCATGGTGTAGATGTGCCACATTTTCTTTGTCCAATCTATCACTGATGGGCATTAAGGTTGGTTCCAGGTGTTTGCTATCATAAACTGTGCTGCAACAAACATACACGTGCATATGTCTTTATAACAGAATGATTTATAATCCTTTGGGTATATACCCAGTAACGGGATTGCTGGGTCAAATGGAATTTCTATTTCTAGATCCCTGAGGTATCACCACATTGTCTTCCATAATGGCTGAACTAATTTACACTCCCACCAACAGTGTAAAAGGGGTCCTATTTCTCCACATTGTCTCCAGCATCTGTTGTCTACAGATTTTTTAATGATCACCATTCTAACTGGCATGAGATGGTATCTCAATGTGGTTTTGATTTGCATTTCTCTAATGACCAATAATGATGAGCATTTCTTCATGTGTTTGTTGGCTGCATATATGTCTTCTTCTGAAAAGTGTCTGTGCATATCCTTTGCCCACTTTTGAATGGGTTTGTTTGTTTGTTTTTTTTCTTGTAAATCTGCTTCAGTTCTTTGTAGATTCTGGATATTAGCCCTTTGTCAGATGAGTAGATTGCAAAAATTTTTCCCGTTCTGTTGGTTGCCGGTTCACTCTAATGATTGTTTCTTTTGCTCTTCAGAAGCTCTTTATTTTAATTAGATCCCATTTTTCTATTTTGGCTTTTGTTGCCAATGCTCTTGGTGTTTTAGTCATGAAGTCCTTGTCTATGTCTATGTCCTGAATGGTGCTGCCTAGGTTTTCATCTAGGGTTTTTATAGTGCTAGTTCTTATGTTTAAATCTTTAATCCATCTGGAGTCAATATTTGTTTAAGGTGTCAGGAAGGTGTCCAGTTTCAGCTTCCTGCACATGGCTAGCCAGTTTTCCCAACACCATTTATGAAACCGGGAATCCTTCTCCACTGCAAATTTTTGTCCGGTTTGTCAAAAATCAGATGGTTGTAGATGTGTGGTGTTTCTTCCCAGGCCTCTGTTCTGTTCCATTGGTCTATATCTTTGTTTTGGTACCAGTACCATGCTGTTTTGATTACTATAGCCTTGTAGTATAGTTTGAAGTCAGGTAGCATGATGCCTCCAGCTTTGTTCTTTTTGCTTAAGATTGTCTTGGTTATGTGGGCTCTCATTTGGTTCCATATGAAGTTTAAAGTCATTTTCTCCAGTTCTGTGAAGAAGGTCAGTGGTAGCTCGATGGGGATAGAATTGAATCTATAAATTACTTTGGGCAGTATGGTCATTTTCACAATATTGATTATTCCTAACCATGAGCATAGAATGTTTTTCCACCTGTTTGTGTCCTCTCTTATTTCCTTGATCAGTGGTTTGCAGTTCTCCTTGAAGAGATCTTTCATGTCCTTTGTTAGTTTTATTCCTAGGTATTTCATTCTCTTCGTAGCAATTGTGAATGGGAATTCATTCATGATTTGGCTCTCTGTTTGTCTGTTGTTGTTGTATAAGAATGCTTGTAATTTCTACAGGATTGATATAAAATCAATCCTAAGACTTTGCCAAAGTTGCTTATCAGCTTAAGAAGGTTTTGGGGTGAGACAATGGGGTCTTCTAAATATACGATCATGTTGTCTGCAAACAGGGACAATTTGACTTCTTCTTTTCCTAACTGAATGGGCTTTATTTCTTTTCTTGCCTAATTGCTCTGGCTAGAACTTCTAATGCTATATTGAATAGGAGTGGTGAGAGAGGGCATCCTTGTCTAGTGCCAGCTTTTAAAGGGAAGGCTTCCAGTTTTTGTCGGTTCAGTATCATATTGGCTGTGGGTTTGTTGTAAATAGCTTTTATTATTTTGAGATATGTTCCATCAATACCTAGTTTATTGAGAGTTTTTAGCATAAAGCACTGTTGAATTTTGTCGAAGGCCTTCTCTGCATCTATTGAGATAATCATGTGGTTTTTGTCTTTGGTTCTGTTTATGTGGTGGATTACATTCATAGATTTGTGTATGTTGAACCAGCTTTGCATCCCTGGGATGAAGCCTACTTGATTGTGGTGAATAAGCGTTTTGAGTGCTGTTGGATTCAGTTTGCCAGTATTTCATTGAAGATTTTTACATCATTGTTCATCATGGATATTGCCTGTAGTTTCCTCTTTTAGTTGTGTCTCTGCCAGATTTTGGTATCAGGCTGATGTTGGTCTCATAAAAAAAAGTTAGGGAGGATTCCCTCTTTTTGTATTGTTTGGAATAGTTTCAACAGGAATGGTAGCAGCTCCTCTTTGCATGTCTCATAGAATTTGGCTGTGAACCCGTCTGGACCTGGACTTTTTTTGGTCGGTAGGCTCTTATTTGCTGCCTTGACATCAGACCTTGTTATTTGTCTATTATGGTTAAGGGGAGAGAACTGGCTCTCTCTCTCTCTCTCTCTCTCTCTCTCTCTCTCTCTCTCTCTCTGTGTGTGTGTGTGTGTGTGTGTGTGTGTGTGTGTGTGTGTGTTCAATCTCTGTTTCTCTGTCATCTTTTTCTTTTCTGTATTAGTCCATTCTCATGGAGAGAACTGGCTGTGTGTGTGTGTGTGTGTGTATGTGTGTGTGTGTTTTCAATCTCTGTTTCTCTGTCATCTTTTTCTTTTCTGTATTAGTCCATTCTCATGCTGCTCTGAAGAAACACCCAAGACTGGGCAATTTATAAAGAAGACTTTTAATTGACTCACAGTTCTGCATAGCCAGTGAGGCCTCAGAAATCTTACAATCATGGTTGAAGGCACCTCTTCACAGGGCAGCAGGAGAGAGAATGGGTGTTGAGCAAAGGGGGAAGCCTCTTATAAAACCATTAGATCTTGTGAGAACTCACTATCACAAGAACAACATGGGGGAATGTGCCCCATGATCCAATTACCTCCACCTGCTCCTGCCCTTGCACATGGGGGTTATTACAATTCAAGGGGAGATCTGGGTGAGGACACAGAGCCAAACCATATCATTTTCCTTCTCTAAACACATCTATGTTGCATCTACTGTATTAAAATAAAATAGAATAAAACAGCATACAATACTTCTCTCATTAATCCTGTTCTGAAAAATCTATTCTACCTCTGTATCTTCATTGAAAATATGAATGTGAGTTATATTCAGTCTATGGGAAGCCTTCTGTATGTAAACAGCTTCTTAATAACTATTTGACTAATAAATGATACTCTACTCCCTAAGGTTGAAAATTTAAAGGTACATTATTTTTTAAATGTGAAGTTCAACTTTCAAAGTTTTTTAAATGAAATTATTTAATTTTAAATAAAAATTTTAAAATTTATAATTATAAATATAAATTAATTTTATTTTATTATATTAAATATCTATAATGATTAGCATCCATTTAATTAAATGTCAAACATTTTTAAAAGGTAGTTAGTCCTCAGGTATATTTATTTTCAAGAAGAAACTCTAAAACATGTCAGGACAAACTTGATAATCTAAAGCAAAATATTTTTATGTTCTAAAGTAACTCTTTGGAATCTCTAAGCTCAAACTTACAAATTTGGAGAATTAGGTTTTTTAAAACATTCTGTAATTGTTTACAAACAATAGGATTGTATAGCACCTTTATATTTAAAATCATAATTCTCATAGCAATTATTTACTTCAAATTGAAATCATAAAGTTAACTAATATGTCAGGTTCTCTCAAAATTGTGAACCCTTTTATGAAAACACACAGGCCATACGTAAATATAACAAGTAACTTTTTAATAATAAGTGTCTTATTTATTTCATCATCTCATTATTTAACTGTAAATCTTCCAGTTGATTATAAAATGATGGATTCAGAATAGTTAAGCTCGTGGCCAAGGGAACATTCATTCAGTAATAGTAGACTCATGCAATGGCTTCTCACACCTCTGCGTGGAAGAAGCGTGCTCACTACTGCCAACATTTTATTGGCTTGAATAAGTCATGCCATCTCAACTAACTCCAGTGGGATGAGGACCTTTAATCTCCCCACTAGAAAGGACACCACAAAATTATAGGGCTAAATCATCTATCAGTCACTAGGAAAGGGCCATGGGACACCAAACATTTGATAGTAATAATACAGGATACTGGAAACATTTTAAGTACTATTTAGCTTCCACCATATAAATAAAATAACTTACTTGTCTATTAACCAATGGAGAGACAGCTATATTATTTTGCATTTTACTGTTACAAATAGTGCTTACAAATATTTTCTTTTAGGCATTCACAAGAGTTTTTCTAAAATGAACACTTAGAAATGC